ATTTTTTGTATACAGTTGTAAATATCATATAAATAAATAAATAAATAAAACAAAATTAATTTTAATTTATAAATTAAAAATAAAACTATCGTTTTCGGAAAGCGCTAGGAATAATATATGAATCTGATCGTTAGAAAAAATATATATGCTCACCTTACCTGTTTCATAAAGAATAGTGCATAGTAGAGGGAAATATAGATAATATCGACTATCGATGACTATGCATAACTAGAGTTGAAACCAATTCCACACTCCCACTGTCAGAATTTATTCAGCAGCTGAATCCCTTAAGAACTTACCTTTATTGAATATAGAAAACCAAAACCCACCTTGGATCCACAAACCCCCAAAAGTGATACTCCGTCTCTCTCGATTACTCAAAAGCAATACCTCACATTACGAGTACAAAACCGAATTTTCCCGTCTACTACAAAATATTCCGGATCAAGTTTTTATTTACACTGATGGTTCGAAATCTACAGCTTGTTCGTTTGTTACCCATAACTCCACACATAAAATAAAACTACATAAACAAACTACATATACACAGCGGAACTTCACGCAATAGCCTCAGCCCTCCACTTCTGTATGTCAATAACTCCAACCTTAATAGTCTTGATAACCGACTCCTTGAGTTCATTAAAGGGTTTAAATGATATGTACTCCAAACATCGAGTTATCCTTAAAATACACAAATATCTTCACACTCTGGAAAATTAAGGAAAATCGGTTTGTTTTATATGGGTTCCCAGTCACGTGGGTATAGTTGCTAATGAGCTTGCGGATACGGCAGCCAAACAGGCACTCGCGCTTCCACACCGAGGTACACCTATCCTGACCCCTCCAGAAATGAGTTTTCCTCTCAAAAAAGAAATATTGGATAGTTGGCAATCTATGTGGAACGAAAGCCCACCTAGCAAATTAAAAGCTGTTAAAAATCGGTGAAGCCTTGGATCACATCAAACCGCTCTAATCGTAGAGAGGAGGTCGCCGTGACCAGGTTAAGAATAGGACACACGAACCTAACCCATGTACATCTCATCACTAAGCAGCCACCACCAAATTGTCAGCATTGCAATAGCCTTCTCACAGTCAACCATATTTTCCAAGAATGCCCTTATTATACTTCAAGCCTAAATCGATTGTCTCTAAAACCGGATATATCAGCGGTATTAAGCAACAACTAATCAAACATAAAAACAGTGATACAATTTCTTAGAATACATAGACTGTTAAATAAAATATAAAAATAAATATAATTTTAAGTTTATTGTTCTTTCGTTTTTTAATATTTATTTTAATATATTTCTTCTTTTATATGTTTTTGAATATCTTTTTTATTTATAACTATATCTATTGTTAATTATTAATTCTCCTCTAAAGGGTTTATAAATATAACCGACTCACAGGCGTTGATGACCCTAGGGTTTTACACCTTAAAGCCTAAATAAACAAACAAACTAGAGTTGAAATGCGCGTGGCACCCCTCTCACTCATTACTTAAAATTAATGTTATTAAGGAGGGTAGCGAAATGATATTTCCATTGATTAATTTAAAGAGGAAAACAACGATATTTCAATTCTGATGTTTTGATGGTATCGGTATTTATAGGCTGATATTTATATCGATATTGGGCCTTCCATTTCCCCATTTAGTACCGAATTTATATAGTCAGAGGAAGATTCCACCAACAATTAATATTGTTCATCCTCACCTTTCCCCACTTATGCTATACTCGTTTTAGAGTTACTTCTTTAACTTCTTGGCATATAACTGCCATCCTCCTACTGAGACGTCGACTGATAAAAAGAAGAACACATTCTATATTTCGCGGCAACTTTCACGTAAATAATGTGAAGATATTTCTGAGAGACTTAAACACCGAAACAGGTCAGGAACAGGTACACGTCCTAACCATTGGAGCTTCCAGTTTTCATGAGAACAAAAACGAAAAAGGTCAAACGGTGATTATTTTTGGAAATTCACATTGCCTGTAAATACTGTCTTTCCGGAAGAAAAAAAACACAAAACTAATTACCTGAAGATCACACAGTATTAGCCTGTCACATTGACCATATTTTACTCAGCTCTAGTCAAAGGTCCAGTTTTTTATTGCATTAAGAATGCATAGAGAAGCTAACGTGGATTCCATGACCACCTTACCTTCATATTTCTTGCATACGCGGCCATATGGCCACTAAAGGAACACGATGGACATAATGCGAAGAAATTTGATATTTTGAATCTAAAGGATACAGCACCACGAAACCAAGCTTAGGGAGGGGCTAACATAGAGAAATACAAAGAAACGTAGAAGTTAAGCGGATGGGAATCTCAACGGCATTCCCAGGGGAGCACAGAAAAATACCGCAGAGGACTTTAGTCAAGCAGTTACATCTCATTATACATTATACATTGACAACTTTGATGCTTCTTGGCTAAAAACAGAAAAACTGAGGCGCAGAAAAGAATAACCCAGCATCATACTGTTCAAGCACAGCAATCTTATCGAAATAGAATTTACAATACTTTTCATTTTAGACGGATGTTAATAATTTAATAAAAAGGATTCAGTGCAGCGGATTAATATATATATATATATATATACTCATTAGCAAATGAAGTAATTATTTCATTAATTGTATATAACATTTCTTTGAATAATCATTCCCAAACGTAAAAAAAAGAAGGGATTACCCTCAGTTTAGTTCGTTTATAGCTTGTGTTCATTTTATTTCTCGTAAAGCAATTATTTTTTCGCTTTTATTGTTCTTTATTACATCTTTTTTAAAAGTTCTTCAGGGTTTTAAAGGATTTCTGCACAACATCTATGAATTCAAGAGCAGTAGAACTTGGAAGGAGGTGGTACCCAGAGAAATGTGGCAATAGGACTACGAACCTCACAGAGTGTGGTTAGTCGCACAAAGAGACCGTACCAGGAAGTTTCCTTTTAATATAAACTTAGTGGAGGACGTTAAAGATCCACAACAGTACAAGACCAATATTTGACTGTCCGGGCTCGAAGGATTCGCTTCAACACTTACCGAAGGCTAGCTGATGATTTTTTTTTCTGCCTTTAATGTGCAAATTAGTCTTCAGACAGTTAGAAGAAGGATGACAGTGCATGGATTGTACGGTCGAAGACCTCTGCGTTATCTAGGACTCACCCTACAATATAAATTTCAAAGACTTCAGATTCACATATCATGCACTGTTCGTGCTTGGGAAAATTGGCTTTTTAATGGTGAATCTAAGTTTTATTGCACCCAAAGCAAGAGCAAAAGCGATAGGATCCTATCCTGGTCTTGCCTGCTTATCCATAAAGAGCAGGCTCGATCAAAGTGTGGAGTGGTATATCCTCGGGCTCTCAAACAGAACTCGTGGTGTTCCGAAATGAGACTATGGCTGCTTACATTTGCAGCTTCGACAGGGTCGTAGCGCAAACACAACCACCTATGACAGTATCAATTGGCCCAGAATTGGTTTTTGTGGATGAAAATGCTAGAACTCGTGGAGCTGGAGCTGGAACTCCTTATGGAGACTAATAAATGCATTCTTTCAAAATCAAGAAATTCACTGCCGAAAATTCCTACTTTCTCTCCAGAACTAAATCCCATTGAATATTTATGGGATCAACTACAAAAACGTATTTCAGGATGGAATATCCTTCCGTAAGCTCTGTATGAACCACACACAGGTCTCTTTGAGGAATGGGAGACGATCCCTCAAGATAGCATCAAAATGCTAATAAGAAGCATGCCACTTTTTTTTTAGACAGTAATAAATGGTCCAGGTGGACCAATGAGGTATTAAAAAAAATAAAAATAATAAAGTTTTTTTATCATTATAAATTCTTAAATCTTTTAATTTCTAAACCTCAAAAAAGCAAATGTAAACAGTTTTATTTTTGCAAATTATCTTGATTTATTACTTCTAAACGTGTAGAAGCAAATTACCATTTAAAAATTGTAATCATTAAATAATAATTAAGGGCGTGTTTTTTTTCATATTATTTTAAATGATCTACTTCATTAGCAAATGATTATATATATTGTTTTTTTACTAATTTCTTAGCCACAGTATTTTAAAAAACAAAGTTTTATTCTTTTTTTTTTTTATTGAGTATTACAACAATCTGTCTCTTGGACATTGGTTATAGTGAGGTAGGATAACATTCACACTATATGTACAAAAAATATAAGATAAATAGAAGCAAAATAATAATCAAAAGTAAATACAATAAATAATAAAATAAAATAACCTAAAAATAAGAAAATTAAAACTAAGCAAAAAAACACATGCATACCTATAAACACTATTACAGATATTAATAATTTTATTTTTGGAATTATTCTGTTATTGCTATTATTCTCTTTTTTATTTTTCTTATGTTGGCCCAAGAATTCCATTGAAGTCCGCTGCTACTATTCTCGTATTACTAATATTTTTTTGTTCTATTATTACTCTTTTTTTTATTTGTATTTTAGGGTGTTATATATATATATATGTGGTATGAATTCTTTGAGTATACTTTGAGCCATAATATCTATTGCCCTATATTGTATCTAATGCCCTTTATATTATCTATTGGCAGGTTGTATCATTATTATTCAATAAAATAAAATTTAAAAATTCGGAATTTTTTTAATCTGTTTTCAACGCATAATTTCTATTTTTTTCTTTCGGAAATATACTTTTGTTGCCATTTATTTATTTATTTTTTATTTATATTTAACGTAGGTCGCTTTAAGTGACGTGAAGGAAGGGGCGCAATGACGCGGCACGTCAGGGAAGGAAAAAATTCCGGTTTGCTGAGTGGCAGAAAGGTCGAAGATCGGGAGGCTCAAAGCCTTGCTTTATTGGAGTGATTGGCTCAGCCTGCGCCGGCCCGGTTCTCGCCTCCTATCAAGACCCCTCCGATTAGAAAGGTCAAGTAGATAAGCGAGTAGAAGCGACCACAGTCGAGTTGGGCCAGTCAAAGTCATTAATTGGTGCTGCCATGTATCTCCGCAACGGGTTATACTCCTTCCTCTTTCTAGCGGCCATCTCATCCGCCGCTTCAGGTCAGTCTATAACTCAGTCATTAATCCAATCCGAAGGCACGCCATATACTCTTTCTTTATAATCTTCGAGAAAGATTTTTTTTTCAGCCATTATTCAATATTATCTGTAAATAATAGAATCTGCCATCCAAAGGCAATACGGTGGAACGAAAAACAATTTTTTTATATCATAATTGATATAATATAAAGCTATTTATTATGATTTTGTAAGCAATAATCTGACATAATAATCTATTAAAATTAATAAATAAGAATATATTATTAATTTAAAAAATATATAAGAAAGATATTTTAATGAATAAATAATATACAGCCGTTTTCGTAGCAAATAATAAATAATAATTCTTGGACCAGTCTATTTCGATGATATATTTTATTGATGAGGATCCTTTAAAGTATAATTGAGTTGTTGTTTTTTTTTATTTTTTTTTAAGATCTCGTTATTGCTTTATTATTAAAAATTAATTTATGAGCACTAAATCCCGCCTGTTCAATCATTTCTTATCCATCCAGTCCCCATAAAATTGTAAATAGTTACTACTGTAAATATGTATATAAATTATTAGATCGTTCTTCATTATTTTTATTTCATGTTAATTTTAATTTTTTTGCTTTTTATTATTAACTGATCTAAATTAGTAAGTAACTTATAATTTTTTCTATTATTTTTTTTTTTATTTTCACTATTTAAGTACTCTATATTTTTGTTTATGTATCTCTAAGGCTCCTTAGGCCACATTATTGTCTTTTGATATTATTCTAAAGGGACTCGTCCCAGAATAAATAAAGCATTATTATTATATTTTCATTATTTTTTTAATTTAAGTCTGTATACTGGGTATCCTACAGGGTGTCCCGTAAGTAGAGAAAAATATTTAAGAGGTTGTTAGTAGATACCAAAATCTTCAAAAAAAAGTTCGTGTAAACAATGGGCCAATTTTCAGCAGAAAAGTTGGAAATTTAAGAGTTGTCTTATTATAAGAGAGTCACGTTTTTTGTTGAATAGGAAGGGATAACTTAAAAAATATTTCATTTAAGTAATTAAAAATTACCCCATAGTAAACTAGCCATAATTTACTTTAAACTAAAGTAAAATTTGTCATTGTTAAAACTATTTAAAGAGGACTATTGGACTATAAAAAAAAATGTCTTAAATTATTTGTAATTTTTTTTTATCACCCTTCAACTATACTACATTTACCCCCGTCTCCAATTTAAAAAAACTTTGAAAGGCTCTAAGTCTATATTAATTAAGTGGGGCTTTATCTGGCAAAAACTTGAGATTCACCTCAAGTTATGTAAAGAAATGATATGATTTTCTATCCCTACACATTAAAGTACTCATGTTTTCAGTAAAAATTACTAGAATTAAATGTTGCGAAGCATTTTTTCTTGTTTTTCTATGTTATAGAGTATATTTTAATAGATATAATTACATAAAACACATTTTATTTATAAAAATAAAAAAAAATAAAAATAATGATTTTTTAAATACTTTCGTTTAAGAGTGGTTATGTTTTGTGTTTTTCTCCCAGATTTCTGTCATAGGAATTGATGCGTATTTATATGCAACAAACTTAATATTCTAGCTTTAATTAATATGGAATTGAAGCTTATTAAACGAGGAGTTTTTTTTTTTTCTAAAAGTGAGGTACAATGTAGGACAATTGAAGGGCTATAAAACAATTACAAATAATTTATAACTTTTTTTAATGGGGATTCAGCCAATTTGTCTGCGCAGTAGTCCTCTTAAAATAGTTTTAACACTGACAAACTGTACTTTCGTTTAAAGTAAATTATGTCTAGTTTAGTATGGAGCAATCTTTATTTACTTAAATCAAATATGTTTTATGACATCGCTTCCTATTCAACAAAAAACGCTACTCGCCTAACAAAACACAAATCTTAAATTAATTACTTTTCTACTGGAAATTGGACCACTGTTTATATGAACTTTTTTGTAGACCTTGATGTCTATTAACAATCTTTTAAATATTTCCCTCTACTTACGGAACACCGTGTATATGCATATTTGATACGAATGAGAATCATTCAATTATTACCAATTGCACATAGATGTTAATATTTAAAAATAATATTTTTAATATTAATTTTATTATTTTTCAAAAAAAAATTTTTAGCTTTATTTATTACATTGTTTTATTGTTATTCATTTATTTTATAAAATTTAAACTATATCTGTGAACATTATTCATCTTGTATGAGTCACTAAGCCGATCCTGATTGATTAAGTTTGGCATTTTGATAATTATTTTGATTTGTTATTGTAGTTAAACATTGCAATTGTTTTTGTTTTTTTAATGCTATAAATTATATAATAAAGATATTTATTATGATTTATTAGGTGATTAGATGATCTGACCTAATAATCCATGAAGTTTGGCAAATTATAAAAATATATAACTAGTATATATAAAAATATTTTAATAAATAAATAAAATATGGCCGTTTTCGTAGTAATATAATAAATAAATATTATTGAAGATGTTGTGGTTTATTAAGATGATAGATTTTATTTATAATGATTCTTTAAAATTAAATACGGTTATTTTATTATATATTTTCTAAGAACATCTTTATGGTATATTATTAAAAATTACTATGATGAATATGTGGTATGATGGTCTCCGGAAGTAAGGTGCCATAGCTCTCAAAAGAGGTTCTACATAAATTTAACGAGACGAAGAACATTATTCAAATTTTTGATTTTTTTTCAAACAGGAGTTTGAATTAAATACACGAATATGGTGCCCAAAAAGCTTCTCCATTTATAACATGTAGAATATTTTTTTTTTTAAATACTGACCCGAATAAAAATTACTTAGCAAGCTTTATGTTTTTGATATTTTTTGAATGTATTTATTTATCTTATATCCATGTATATAGACATATGTGATAAGAGTGAGAATAATAATATCATTATTACGAATCGCCCAAAAAAAAACGCTTTTCTCGATGGACGACTTTCAAATAACAATCAAAAGCTGCCTTTTTATGTCATTGGAAACACTATAAAATTTTATTTTAATTTCTATGTAAAATCTCTTAAAAAGCGAAAGAACAAAAATTATTTTTAAAAGTATTTCTAGTAAAAATGTTACTGGGAACCAAAATTAACAATGCCAGATCTTAATTGTGATGAATTACTTTGAATCTTAATAATTATCAATCGTAAACATCGTAAATATTTTCAATGATAAAGTAGTTCATAATTGAACTTAAGTAATATTATATTACAATCAAAATAATAATTATTATAACGGAGCGAATGAAAGTTTTAAATGCCATTCAATACGCACATTGTGAAGGTCAATATGTAGTTTATCTTGATCCTATCAGCCGTGTTGTAACTTCCCTAAGGGGTCATCAATGACCCCAATTAACCTTAATTCAATTGAGACTGAAAATTCACAGCTAATTGGGATTGCAATTACTCTATTTAATTGAGTTAAACTGGTCACTATGCATTTAAAAACCTCAAATCGTTCCTGGTTTTTGAAAATTTTGGTTCATCAAGGACTCAAGATTTCTATTGTATAATGCCATTCATACATCTCCACGTTCCCTATCTGTCTAGAAACTAAAGAGCTGTGTTTACGCTTCTAGATACAATTGATAGCTCTATGAAAACAAATTATTTAACAGAGATAGCCAAACAAAGGTACTGATTGTTAATATAAAGAATGTATTAATCATTGCCGATTCTTTAAATTGAAAAACTGTTATATTTTAGTTAAAATTTTATATTACAATATTTTACGGGCAGAAATAGACCAGCGTATAACTAGCGCAAACAGAACGTCTCAAAAGTATTGAAATCCCGAAAAATCTCAAGAAAAAACTAAGGGCGTATAATGTTTTGATAAAGCTAGTTCTAATATATGGCTGTGAGACCTGGACTCTAACTAGCACCCCAGATAAAAAGTGTTGAAAGATTTGAGAGGAAAATCCTCCCCACGATAACCGGAGCGATCTGGGATCAGACTACTAAAACATGGGAAAAAAAGACCAATAAAGAACTGCTTACAGAAACTGGTCAATCAATAAGTTTTCAAGCTTGAGATCGGCAAACTTTGTCTATTTACTTAGGCATAGAAAACTCATGAACAACCGTTTGTTTTCCACTTGAATTGTAAGATAATTTTATCGCAAATTTGAGGAAAAGGGTGGCCTACAAAAATACTGGGCCGTTTGGCACGACCTAGAACATTTCAAAATAAAAATGTTACATAGGCCAAACGGCCCAATATTTTTCCGATTTCGTATAAAAATTATATTATGATTCAAGTGGAAAGCAAATGTGTACTTATGAGATTTCATTCATTAAATTAAGTTCTTTTTATGAGAAAACGCCCCATTTCTGAAAAGTTTCTTAAATGAAAAATTGTAGGTTAAGTAAAAAATATTTTTCTCTTTTTTTTTTTTTTTTTTTTTTTTTATTCTTTTGACCTTAATTCATTAAATAAAATGAGTTGATGTTTTAGATGATATTTATTTTGAAACATATTACCGAAAATAGTTTTATAAACCCATTGTCTTTTATTGGTGAGGGGATAGAAAGAAGTTGCAGAAAAATAAGTTTCTAAGTTTGCTCCTCGATTTCTAGTCCGGCCCTGAATAACACACAAAAATCTGATTAATTTTTTATGAATGAAATAAAATTGTAAACAAATAAATTTATCTAACGCAAAATGAGCATTATACGCATAACATATCATTGATTAAAAATAAACAAAAAAGAATATCAATTTTTAGGATTGTAGATTATAATTAAATTGATAATACATATGTATAATTCGTTTCTTGGTTAATTTTTAAGAAAGATTTTCTTAGGATGAAACCATGATTTAGAAAATGGTGTGTTTGTTGTACAACGTGTACTCCCAATTTTATTTATTTATAAAAGTACAGAGAAACAATTACTTTTTGTAATATCTATTTACTCTTATGTTTATGCCTCTCGGGTCAGTAATTTTTTT